CCATACATACACGACAGGTATTGGCTCAGATAAATTTGATCATTATGTTTACAAATGCCATAAAAATTAACTTTATTTCAAGTTATTTCCATATTAAAACTTTCTAATTAGAACTTCTTATATATGAAGATCACATTAATGAGGCTTTTTTTTTCTTTCCTTAAATTGTGGCTATAATCCTCTCCTAACTCTTTAAATCCAAAATACAAATGTAGTCAAACAAGCAGGTGCGCAGAGAAATAATTTAAGTATCAAGGATGCAGTGGGAACCAAACTCAGAATTTCTCACTTACAAAGTGAGCGCTCTATTACTACATCACAACAGTATTAAAGTGTATTTGGGTAATCTGTTGCAGTAATATATTTTAGTAATTTGTTTAAGTACAAGGGTTAGGAGAAGTTAACTCTAAATTAAACGCCACTGCTTTGATATGATATCTCATCTTAGGGAAATGCTAAATACATCCAGCTACAGCTTTGTAGAATCTCACTAGGAAAAAAATTTAGGTGTAAGGGTGATCAGAAATTTATGATGACCAGCCTACTCTTCATCTATAAGGCTAGCATAGATGTAAGTCTATTATATTGTTTCCTGACTAGGATGATAAAGACTGGAGATTCTAGATTATTCTCATGGGTTTCACTTTGTCATCAACAGCAGGGTTGAAGTCATATACATATTTTTATTTGGTAATATTATGTTAATCTAAAATATTTGTATTTGTATTGTATTTGATTAAAAAATTTCTTCTTAAGTATTTTTATTTGATTAAAATGTATTTGTAATTCCATAAACTAGGTTGACCAGTGTTTTATTGGTAAAAACCAAGAGATTTGTTTTTTGTTTTTTTAACACTAAAATGAGTTAAAAATTTATTTTTAAGAGATATTTGTTAAAAGACTTGTTTTTATTCTTCTATTTAGTATACCATTTTATCAGTGTTGCATTGAAAAAATCTTTGTATTTTTTTCTAAACCTAAAAATATAAATAACTGTATTTGTATTTTTATTTAATAAAGAGAGGGGAGGGCAATGGTCTTCATAAAGAACCTTGTGGGACACACCTTGTTGCACTAAAAAGAGAAGACCACATAGAGTGCAGAGAGTTTTAAATTATTATCATTAAATGTCATCTGCAAAGTAGTAAGCAGTAGAAACCTTCTGAGCGCTCTGAAGTTTTCCACTGCTAACCACTTTGCTGATGACACTAATCTGCTTTTAATAAACAAATCACATCGAAAGATTTACAAAAATATTAAACATGACTTAGTGAATCTACTCCAGAGGCTTCTTTTCAATAAATTATCACATAATCTAAAAAAAACTGAAATCATTATCTTGAAATCAAAACAAAACAAAGCAAAAAACACCTAAATTTCATATTAAGTGGTCAAAAAATAAATCCTGTGGATTTTATCATGTGGTTTTGTATTAAAATTGATTCCAATTTAAATTGTATCCCATCTTCAATACTTAGCACTAAAACTAAGCAAGCCCAATGAAATGTTGGCTAAAATTCAACATTATCCTAATCTTGAAACACTCCTTAACATATATCATGTTGTTTTTGAATCTCATTTTAGATATGATTGTCAAATAGGGTGACAAACCTAGTCTCAGCTAAAAGCTTTATATTACCTATACCTAAACAGCGAACTGTTTATTATGGTAATGAATCTAGTAAATATCAGAGCATATGCACACGTAATAATCTCCCCACACAGTTAAAATCTCTCACTACATTTTCCCAATTTAAAAACAGTCTGTTAAATTTTTTATTAAACAGGTTTTCTGTCTAATTCCTATACTCTTCTATGGCTAGTTATTCTATTGCTAACAATTTGTTACTGTTCTATTGCTTACTATCTACCATCTTAACTTTGTACTTGCTTCAATGCTAAAAAATTATTAATAATTGTTTGTTTTTTTTAGTTTTTTTTACTACTCTCCTCACTGTTGTTATTACTATTAATATTATAATTGCTATTATTATTATTTTTTTTTTTCAGTTTTCAGATTATTTTGTTTCTATTTTAAATTTAGCAAATAGTTTGGTTACAGTTGAATTTACTTTTATTATTTAATTCAAATAATTAAAGTTTTGGAGGTTAGTTTTGAAATAAACATTAAAAAGAGTAATTTAGCAGTTTAATTTAAACTTTAAAAAATATTTTTTGCTCACAAGGATGTGAGTGAAAAAATTGAATTATCAACTTAAGAAATAACTTAAAATTGTATTATTATGTAGTAAGCAATAGTTTTGTTTGTTTCAAAGAGTTATAAATTATTGTGCTGAAAACTAATGCTTGTAATTTCAGTTAACCAAAGTAAATTAAGTTTTTTAGAATAATTAAAATGCTATAGTATTTTGAAATGCCAATGCAGCAAGCTAGTTTGTCATGTTGAGGGTAACAAACCAACATCCTGTGACACCACTGCAAAAACAAAAATAGATTCTGGCACTATAATGGAAGACCAGACCATCTTTTGCACATTTCCACTGTTTTTTTGACAAATATTGTTAGTTGTTCAGATAATGTGCCCCTGAAATGCTCAGCAATTTTTATTATTTAACAATATGGAGATATCGTTGAACATTTCAAAGTTGTATCTAAATTTGATAGAAATATAATGCTATCAACTATTAAGAAGTAGTAAAACAATTTTCTCAAATGGTTTTGTTCATTTATAATTTCAAGATGTAATAAACATTCCAGTTGTAGTTATTGATTTTTGAGTTTATATTCAGTATGTACCCAAAAATCCACATCACTATTAGGTTGAACTTGACTTAAAAGTATTATTGAATTTAAGAGCATATTAAGTATTTAGAGCATATTAAAAACTTAATTAAAAAGATTTCAAACTTAGCTGTTAATTGGTATTTTTATTGTGATTTTATTTAAAAACAAAGAATACTTTTCTAAAAAAGTCTTGAAAAACCTCTTCAGCTATAAAATTAGCAAAGCTGTTTTTTTTTTGTTTTACAGTAGTTTAAACATTTAGAAATATTTCACCCTCATACAAATTATGCTTAAATTTGGCATAGCATAGCTACAGAAAAGTGGTTTTTATTTTGTATTAATTTTTGGAGTGTATCAGTAAAGAAAATAATTAATCTCAATACTATTTGTTAATAACCTTAATAAATTATAATTTTTAAAAGATTCTAATGTTAAGGTCAGCTTGTCAATGTTTTGCGCATCTAAACATAAATAATGCATTACAACTAAAGCATTAGGTACTCACAATGTATGTGTATCCCTACATCAGCAAATACAAAATTAAGTTGTAAAGATTTGATGGCTTCAACTGTTTGTACTTTGATGATGTGACCAATATTCTAGTATTCAAGCATCAAAAAGTTGTTTAGTGCTAGAGTTTACAGAATGTGATCAAGAAGATATATTATTCAAAAATAACAGTGTACTGACTGTGCAGCAATATTGTTGCAATCATTGCTACTAGATGAATTGAATAACTTTTATGCAACGATATTGATTACCAAATGAAAAACTGTAACAGAAAACATAATGATTATTTAACTTTGGAAGATTTTACTAAAAATTACTTATCTTGTTAATATTATAGACAACATAAACAATTCAGGTTTATAGTGGAGTCAATTCAGGTTCATAGTGGAGTCAATCACTTTAATATGAACCTGAATCAAGGTATTGTAAAGTTCCTTTGTCTCCTTAAATTATCATTAAAATGTTGCAAAATGAACATTTTTATTTATCAGTTATGGAGTACAAGTAAGATAAAAATTTTGAAACATAAGAGTTACAAAAATATTTTTGTATGAATAATTTCATTTGGAATAAGTTTCTCTGGTACTTAATTTTTATTTCTTTGATGGTCAAATGGAATTCATGTAACACTATCATTCATGAACCATTATCATTCATGTACCACTATCATTCATGTGCCACAATCATTCATGTACCACTATTTGTATTGAATAGGCTTTTTTTTGGATTGCTATTCTTTGCAAAACTGCAGCAGGAAAAATTGTTTAGGTTTGTTGCCCTCAACACTGCAAGCTAGCTAGCTGAATTGGCATTTCAAAATATCGCGGCATTTTGAATATTCCAATAAACTTAATTTACTAAAGTTGACTTAAATTACAAGTACCAGTTTTCAGCACAATAATTTATAATTCTTTGAAACAAACAACACTTTTGCATACTTTTATAACATCAGCCAAAATCTAGTTACAAAATAATGCATCAGCAAAAATAACGTTTAAAAAGTAATTTTACAGATCTTTCTATTTAAAATCTAAACATTCAAAATAATGAAATATTTGGAAAAAAATTTAAACCTTGTTTTGATTTTAAAAATGCATATTATTTCATAAAAAAACACATTTTTATGCAGCTATTTTTATTGTTGTTTTAAACAAAACTGATACTTGGACTTATTTGCTAACATAAAAAAGGGTCAAACAAAAAAATAAAACAACATTTTAAATATGTACATATTTCGTAAATATAATAAATATAACGTCAAGGTATTTTCTTTATAAAACCATAGATATTGAAATTTAAAAATATCGAAACAAAATTGCATACGTCTATAGTGTGTTAAATTTCATCTTCTTTCAATAGCATATTTGGTATACCTTTAGAAATTGGAAATTTTCTGCCGGTTTCGGGACATATTAAGTTTCCTTCCATTATCTCAATTTCCATAAGTACATGATGAGTGTCTTTAAGGAATTCTTCATTTTCACAAAGTTCTTTTTCACGCCCAGATATGTCTTCAGGTAAACTTTTGCCATGCCCTAAATTTTGAGCAGCTGATACTAAAGCTTTCCATTCAATTTTATGAATCATACGAGCAATAAAATCAGGATTAAAATCAGATTCTTTAACAACAACTTCAGTAGCATCTATTTTAAGAGGAAACCCATTTTTAACTCCTTTGATATTACAAGTCAAGAGGTTATGAGTTAGCAACTTCATGACAGCTTCTTCTTATATAAAAAAATAAATATTTGGAATATATATTACATAATTATATGTAATATATCTTCATATACTATATATATATATATATATATATATATATATATATATATATATATATATATACATATATATATATATATTATAAAACTAGGATCCCATAAAAAAAGGAAATGGCCCCAGGGGCCACCCATAAAGTATGTACACAATAAATCTACTGTTTTAGAACATCCCTCCCCCCCCTTCCTCTACAAACACACACTTCTTTAACGCATAAATTTTTCAAAACATTTAAAACAAAATACTTTTAATTTATTTGACATTTTACATCTGTTACATAATATGTTATATTGATTTTTTAAACTCATGTTAAAAAAAAAGAAATCAAGTTTTAGGAGAGATATAGAATGAGAAATAGTCAAATTGTGTATTAACTCTGTCTTTAACACATACACAAACACACACACCCTTTACTGTATTTATTTATTCATTTTTGGGTAACATCCTCCCTATATCTGTGTATGTACTTTATAGAAGGCCCCTTAGGCATATAATAAATATTGTACAATTGAAAGTGGTCTTAAATTATTTATCTTAAATTATTACAAAGGATAATCAGAGCAAATAAAAATACTGGCTTCCAAGTTGATAAAAAAATAAATTTAAAAACAGTGAAATTTCTAAATGTTAACTTTAATCAATGGAAGATATCACCAAAAATAAGCAGAGGCAAACAAACAATGTTTTTAAAACTAGTAGATTGCTATATAATTTAATTAAGATAAAAGGTTATAACTAGAAACTAATTAGGAATCTTAAAACTACTGAACTGATTAAAACTTGTTTCTCCACGCAGCGGCCTTGTTTGTCAAGGTTCATGTTTCGGAGTTATAGAGTTGAGAGAGGGTTTTAACCACTATTAAGTAGCCTCCTCGTCTGTAGTGGCCTTCTCGGCCTTAAGGAGGTGAAAAAAAAAAAAAAAAACATTAAAAAAAAAATTGAACAACCACACTAACATATACTTTTTTTCAGACTTTTTTTCAGTTTCAAAAAAATTTAACAACCACACACATAATACTTTTTTTCAGACTTTTTTTTCAGTTAAATGAGCTATCCTGAATCTAAACTGGTTTTTAATAAATAAATAATTTACTTTAAAGTATTTTAAAGATAGTTAAGTATGGACATAACTTTCAGTTTTTTATTAGTTATTCTATTATTGATTGAAATAAATTTATTTTTAACTTTAATGTCTGTTCCGTTGTAACATATTTTTGTAAATAATTTTGTAATAACGACATTGACAGTGTAGCAGAATCTGTAGATATCAATATATTTGCAGACAACACCTAAGTATGCTTAGGGGCAAACTACAATGAAACACTAAATAAACTTAACAAAAACTTAGAGAAAATGAAAATCTTATTAAATGTGATTAATACAAGCTTTCCCTAACCTAAGCATTGTATTGGATAGAATTGTACTTGAACTTTGGTGAAATAAATAGGTGTGGTAAAAGATAATTTATTAAAATTTAAAGAGCGTGTTCAATATAATGTTAAAAAATTAGCAATTAAAAAGGTTATTTGTTAAGAATAGCAGTAGATGCTATCAAATGGATCAAATATTTGGTATTAAAGAAAATTAAAACACTACAATTTCACCACACAACCTATACTTTCTATTTTACACAATCTATATCTTTATTGTTATAGAAAATTAGGGATATCTTTAAATCTTTTAAACTAATACAAAAATAAAATAAAAAACAAATGAGCCCTATCTTCAAATGTAATTGTTATGCCCATAGTATTGTTACGCTTTATGAATTGAATTGACCATCAGTTAAACAGACATTATAGTAAAAGCTCTGAAGCTCATACATAACAATATCAACTTAATGAATGGATGTGCTATGATGAACGGATGTGCTATGATGAATGTGAACTAAAAATATGCAGTCATTACTGTAATGACGGCATATTTTTAGTGATATGATTACACCAAAATATTCAGTAATTACTACATTCAACAACAAAATAACAACAATCACATTTCTATCTCCTGTAAAGGAATTAAATGGTATAGTCGTTGCCAACTGGGATGAAGAATATAGAAGAGAATAGAACCAAATCAAAAATTTAAAAACACGTGAAAGAAAATGAACTAATTTAGAACATTACAATACCATTGTAATTTTTTAAACCGTAACAAAAAAAACACAAATATATTGCAATTAAAAACATTAATTCATAGTGTTTTATATTACATAAACAAATGTGCGATTGAAATAAATAAAATAATCAAAGTAACAAATCATTTTTGAAAGCAAAAATCTATACACGTGAGTCTATAGACAAGAGTCTATAAACAAGAGTCCGACAGCATTAACAGGGGATATGTGTTCCGCGCAAGATGATTATCTTACGACAGTTGGTTAGAGAATTTATATTTTCTTCTCCTTTTCTTTTTTTTTAGTTAATTTGCTGCTGGAAGAAGCCCTAACAATCTTATCACAAAGCACCGCAGAATAGCATCTAACCAGGAGGTTCACGCCTCCTTCCTTACTAATGATGCATATATATAAAGCTGGCTTTGTACCACAGACCTCTAGTTCTGACGCCAGAACTCTAACCACGACACATCGGCTAAATTCCTCTTCTTATGTTGGTGCTGTTTATATATTTTATCGTTTATATATTTGCTATAACAAAATATGTTTTGCATTTTACAATAGCAACAACGTTCAGAGGCGGTTCTACATACAAAAATGAGGGAGGGAAGGTGGGTGAATCCTCAAAAAGTACCAACTGGCTTATAAAAATTAATAATGATAATTATAGAAAGGCCTCTAAACGAAAATTTACCCGACTGTATTGTGTCAAATACCTGACTAGCCAACTAAAATTGTTAAAAAACCGACTATAGCTTATAGTCTATAACAAAACAGTCGGGTAAATTTTCGTTTAGAGGACCTTTTTATAATTATTATTATTATTAATTTTTCCTTAAAATTAATTTATAGTAATAATTTTTATAATTATTATTATTGGGGGGGGGGGGGGAGTGGTGCAACACAATCTTTGCCAGTGGGTACTAAAGAGACAATAAACTGAATCAAAAATTTACTCGAGACTTTTTTCTGATCAACTAAAAATTTGATGCAACTTTTGGTGTGATGCTGCCTAATAGTTTTTGAATTGCACAACTTAATTTCCTCCATCAGTGTCATGCCAAAGCAAGAGATAACAACAGTCTAAAACTTTCAAAACGTGTTAATAAAACTAAAAAATTTTACAGACCAAATCTTTTTCTGCTATTTGCTAGAGAAGATCCTCATTGTTGAACAATCTGTAACATTTATTGCTAACAAATCGACCTCTATATTATGGCTCCTCGTGAATGTGGAGCGCTGCTGACTATTGGTGTGCGTTTGACCAGATACCTTTCATTGCCCAGAACGGATGATTTATAACTACAAGAAGGAGGTGGAGCTTCATTCGTGAGATTTTCCAAAATCAATAGACACATGAACCGCGTTTAAAACTTTTTTTATTTGTTTAATATTGCTTTCAGAATCATTGACAAATTTGAATGATATATAAGAGTTATTATTTAATGAGTTCGAAAAAGCCTTCAAAACACTAAAAAAAAAAAATAAAGCAGCTGGACCGGATGAAATCAATGGTAATATAATTTTAGATTGCTTTGAACAAATAAAATATATATTTTTTAAAGTCTTAAAATCATTAATAGAACAAGGAGTTTTTCATAATCAATTGCAAATTGCTAAAGTCACTCCACTTTTCAAAGGTGGTGACAAATCTGATATAAGTAACTACCAGCCTAAATCTATCTTACCTATATTTTCAAAAATACTAGAAAGAATCATGTTCAATAGAGTATTTAATTATTTTAGTTTAAATAATTTATTAAACAAAAATCAGTTTGGCTTTAAAAATAATAACTCAACTGAGCATGCAATAATTCAGTTGGTGCGTAAAATCTCCAATTTTTTTGAAAAATCTCAATTCACATTTGAAATTTTTTATCGATCTTTCAAAAGCATTTGATTAAATAGTTTCAAAGTTATTTATTGAGCAGAAAACAATTTGTTTTTGTAATGAACTTAATCATAAACAGTTTTTAAATGTTTCCTGTGGTCTTCCGCAAGGTTCCATCTTAGGCCCTCTTTTGGCCCTAATATATATCAACGACTTGCATAAAGCATTAAATCTTCTAAGTAGTATGTTTGCTGATGACACGATTGACATTGTTATTTCTCTCTAACAGTGAATCTATCTACTTTTCTCCATTATGAACAAAGAACTTCAAAACGTATCTAAATGATTTAAAAATAACAAATTAACATTAAATATAACGAAAACAAAATGGATTTTTTTCCACCCGCTCTCCAAAAAACGTTTCCTACCTCCAAATCTATTAAAAATTCTTATTAACCATGTTGAAATTAACAGAGATTCTGTAACTAAATACCTGTGGATTTTCATTGACGAGAACATCACATGGAAACATCATATTAACTATGCTTGCTCGAAAGTTTAAAAAGTTATCGGATTTTTATATAAGACGCGTAATCATTTTGATAAAAATAATTTAACTAAACTTTATTACTCTTTTATCCACAGTTCTAACAGTTATGGAGTTATTGCCTGGGGTAACAATGATCAAAGCAAGTTACAATGTCTTTATTGCCGTCAGAAACATGCGATCCGTTTAATTAATTCTGCGTATCGGTTCGCACACTCCTCAGTATTTTGTAATGAAATGAAAATCCTAGATATATATAAACTAAACGTATATAAAAATTTATCTTTTGTCTATATGTGGAAGCATGATTTATCTCCTTTAATTTTTAAAGATCTTTTTGTTTTAAAACCATTAAGCAAGTTTAACATGAGGAATAATAATTATTTAAATGAACCATTCTGTCAAACAAAATTCAATCAATTTTGTATCATTTATCGTGCAGCTCATCTGGAACAAAGTTATTTTGCCTAACTTC